TGATTGTCACAAAACTGTCATTTTTAGTGGGGCACATTGTGTGTGGCAACAATGGATGTAAGATCATGGATGATGGATCAGGGATGTTGGATCATGAATGTTGGATCAGGGATGTTGGATCAGGGATGTTGGATCATGAATGTTGGATCAGGGATGTTGGATCATGGATGTTGGATCATGGAAGTTGGATCATGGATGTTGGATCATGAATGTTGGATCATGCATGTTGGATCATGGATGTTGGATCATGAATGTTGGATCATGAATGTTGGATCATGGATGTTGGATCATGGATGTTGGATCGTGAATGTTTGATCATGGATGTTGGATCATGGATGTTGGATCATGGATGTTGGATCATGGATGTTAGATCATGGATGTTGGATCCCGGATATTGGATCATGAATGTTGGATCATCAGATGTTGGATCACTGATGTTAGATCATGAATGCTGGATCATGAATTTTGGATCATGAATGTTGGATCATGGATGTTGGATCATGGATGTTGGATCATGAATGTTGGATCATGGATGTTGGATCATGGATGTTGGATCATGGATGTTGGATCACGGATGTTGGATCATGGATGTTGGATTTTGGATGTTGGATCATAAATATTGGATCATGGATGTTGGATCATGGATGTTGGATCATGGATGTTAAATTTTGGATGTTGGATCAAATGTTAGATTATTCTAGTCTTTATTTCACCTGAGAGTATAACCAAGAGAGAGGAAAAGTGTAATGTAGGAGCCAAGACCATATTTACAGGCTAGAACTAAATAGTAAATATTTACAGGGTGTATCGCAAAACATGAAAGTTTAGAAATGGTAAAGATCTTCTTTATATTTTAAGTGTGCAATGAGTAATGGCCAATCAAAAGCTTTTAAGCAGGCCTACACCACATTTTGAAAAGCCCTTCAATCTGTACAAATTTTTGATATATATTCCGTCCGTATAGATAGCATTCAAAGATCAAAATTGATCTCTACTTTCTCACAAGTTATGTCTGCTGGGAAACCATACAGTCAATATTGAAAAAATGAACATTGTTTATCGACAAAACTTAAACATTTCAAAATGACATTCTGTTGGGTTTGGGATTAATGCTTACCAAGAGGTTTAGAGTTTACTTTCTCAATCTCTTGAACTTCAACCCTGGCCTCGAGGCCCAGCAGGTAGAGGAGGACATCCTCCCTCCCCTCCACAACACACATACACAGGAACAAGAAGTACATCTTCTTCACTAAACAAAACTATAAGAATCGAGTTTGGGGAAAAATCATCAGCATTGGAGACCCCCAGATTTTCATTGGAGACCCCCTGATTTTTGTTGGAGACCCCCAGACTTTTTTTTGGAGAACCCAACCTTTTCATTGGAAACCTATGATTTTCCTTGGAGACCCCCAGATCTCCAACGAAAGTCTGGGGTCTTCATTGAAAAGATTGGGGTCTCCAACAAAAATCTTGGGGTCTCCAATGAAAATCTGGGGGTCTTGCATCTAAAAACTGAGGTCTCCAATGAAAGTATGAAGGTCTCCAACGAGAATCTGGGGGTCTGCAATAGTACTCCAAAGCTGATGATTTTTTCCCAGACTCGTAAGACTTTAAATATTATGAAATCCGCAAACTTATTTTGTTTTTGTTTTATACTGTAAAAAGAGAAGATGCTCTCAGATAAAGCCACAATTAAAAGTTTTAATAGAAGATGGACGCGAAGCGCCCTAAAATCCTAGTATAGATAAATATTACATGCTATGTACATTGTACAATTTGTGCATTACAAACTTATATATTCTGTCAATCTATACGTTTCCAAAAGAATATTAATTTTGTTGAAATTACTGTCATAACAAAATGATAATTAGTATTTCTACCTTTTTCTATTTGTCTAGTAGATCTCCATGCACAAGTTTGCTCCCAGAATACGAGCAATTTATCCTTTTTTTCTCCTCTCATCAGATCTTTAACTGAACACAATTAAAATATTAGACTTGTGTGTTAATTTTCCAGAGCTGGGAATATTAGTGTTGGATAATGCATATAATCCCGATTGCTTCATCTCGATATCCATTACCTGTAGGCAATTTTAATTTAAAAAACTGTTCCTTTTCATATCGTCATTTTAAGTATTCCTGGCTGGTTAAGATTACCATGAAGGAATTCAAATAAAGATCAAAGTAATCTGCAGATTAACAAAAGATCGAGATCAAGTAATGATCTTGATATCCATAATACAAGAGTTCCCAGCTCAATAGCTTTATCATAGGACATTTGGCAAAGCTGTGTGTGGCATGGAGTACAAATGTTGTGGTTCAGATATAACACTGAGTGGCTCATTGTGATGCACCATCCCCCCCCCCCACTTTAATCTCAAAATGTAAACTTTTAAATAACTCAGAATTATGATTTAACATTTACTTATATTTTCCTTGGTCTCTTTGCACTCGGAGCTGGTTAATTGGGACCAAATCCACTCATATTCGTCATCTCCAGATCCTTGATGATCTCCAGATCCTTGATGATCTCCAGGTGATTGATGATCTTCAGGTCCTTGATGATCTCCAGGTGGTTCATCCATATCTGAAAAGGAAATGAGTCTTTGGCACAATCTCAAAGTTTCTAATCCCCATCTGTTCTCTTCTCTCATTGATATTTCATAGATTTTTTAATCTAACAGAATTCATTGTCTGAAATATTTATGGTCTATGACATTGGGTTGCGAAGATGTCACGATTAGATAATTTGAAGCAAGGACTCAATTACTTTTACTCCTATATTTCTTTCTTTATCCATATTCAGCCCCATGAAGGTAACTTTTCTATTTCATCACCTTTCATCACCCTCCCACGCGCTCAATCTTCTTACCTTCTTCATTCTCCTACCCTCCCCTCCCCTCCCCCTCTATCCCCTGCCTTCTACCCCTTCACTCCACCTCTCTCCCTTCTCTACCCCTTCACTTCACTTCTCTCCCTGCTCTTACCCTTCACTTCACTTCTCTCCCTTCTCTTACCCTTCACTTCACTTATATCCCTTCTCTGCCCTCCCTCCTCTTCCTTGAATTCTTTCCCTTCTCTCTTCAATCCTCTGTCTTCTCTCCTCTACTTCCAATTCCCTTTCCTTCTATCCAGTCCGTCTCTCTCCTTCCTTCTATCCAGACCTTCTCTCCCTTTCCTTCTATCCAGTCCTTCTATCTCCTTCCTTTTATCCAGTCCTTCTCTCCCTTTCCTTCTATCCAGTCCTTCTCTCTCCTTCCTTCAATCCAGTCCTTCTCTCCCTTTCCTTCTATCCAGTCCTTCTCTCTCCTTCCTTCTATCCAGTCCTTTATCCCCTTCCTCCTTTCCTTGCTCAAGTTCTTTCCTCCACTTTCCCGCCTCCTTCCCTCCTTCATTTTTCCCTTTTTCCCCCTTCCTTCCATTCCCTCTTGCTTTTTCTATTTCTATCCTAGAATCCTCACTCCACGAATATATCTTCTTAACTAACAAACACAAAATGGTTGATTTGTTTGTTTTCATGTGAATTCGCAAACATTTGTTTTTCCGTGTCTCATTTTCACACTTACCTCATTCCACAGGTTTGCATATTCAAAGACAAAATGTGTTAGTTTTGGGAATTTTATAAATTGATAGTAACAGAGCCGTAACCGGCCCCTCTCACGCCCTCCCCCCCTCCCCTACAAAAACATTCATATTGAAATAATAAATAAAAAAACAATTAAACACTGGACCACAATTGTGTTTATTAATCCCAACCAAATTCTAAAAATTCGTCTAGAAATTTTATTTCTTTCTTTTATGAAATTGAACAAATTTCTTTAAAGAACCATTCACTTATTTGAGTAATTTCATGGTAAACCAATTAGCCTATAGCTATTCATTGGTATTAGTTCTACTTTTCAAAGATATCTATGATCAGAGAAAAAGTCGCAAATAACTATTATAGATACTTCAATTTAATTTAATGTTTGAAATTTGAAATGCTGGAATTCTGAATGATAAATCGGCTTTTTCTCAGGCCACAGTTGTCTTTGAAAAGTAAAACTAATACCAATGAATAGTATATATAGGCTATTAATTGTTTACCCTCAAATTACCCAAATAAGTGAACGGTCCCTTTAGTAATTATTTTAAAACTATAGCTGGGCGCTATTTAGTTTGAACTATACTGCCGCTTGAACTATTTTTATGTTCATTTGAAAGCTAATCTATGTGTGTCCATTCTTTGTTTAAACAATATACATATCTTCAATTGTTTCACCTACAGGGTGTCCCACACCATATTAGACCGAGAACGGGTCTAAATTACGATTTTCGGGACTAATTAGAAAATTTCATATAAATAAATAAGAATTCAAATGACCAATTAATACAAATGGAACCCGAACAATTTATGTTCAAACGACGGTAGCTTAACAAGCAGATCCCACCATTTTTATTTGCATGTGAAATATTTTTTTGATATCATTAAAACTATTTTGTGATGATTATTATTATTAATATTATACTTTTTCATGAAATATCAAAATTTTAAAACATGCATACTTAATAATTGAGTAAATAATGTGTTGCTTGAACTACAGGAAATGACGTCATTATCAGTAGTTAGAATGAACGTATAGTTCAAGCGATAAATAGTTCAAACGATCAATAGTTCAAATGATCAATAGTTCAAATGGCAGTAGTTCAAATGCGGATCCACCTTACATATTTTTCCTACGAAGACGACAAATAATATTTAGTTTCCAAACCAAATATTTCCACTCCAGGATTGTTGTGTACACAACACAACTGCGGGCGCGGCGAAAATAAAACTCTTAATTTAGGAAGGATGTGATATTGTGGAACTTAAAGGCTTTGCCTCTACAGTTGGTATTGAAATAAAAGCGAGTAGCATTCTCAGGGGTTATCATTGAATCCCTCGGGGATTTTAATTTCCAATGGTTCTGATTGAGATTAAATGATAAAAGAAGTATCACTTCTCAGTAGTCGGGCCTATAGACACTTACAGATAATTTTGTTTCAGATAATATGTCCAATTTACAGAATAAAATTGTTTTAATCACCGGGGCTAGTTCCGGAATCGGAGCTGGAGCTGCGCTTCATCTTGCAGGACTCGGAGCTAAACTCTCCTTGGTTGCACGGAATACGGAGAAACTGGAGCAGATTGCAGAACAATGTAGATCTCTAGGCAGTCCTCAGGTTCTTATTTGCCCTCATGACCTCAGTATAGAGGCTGAATGTGTGAAGGCCGTCGCTGAAACTGTTAAAAAGATGAACGGTCTTGATGTATTGGTCAATTCCGCCGGTATTCTTGTATCCGGGAGCATTCTTACATTAACTTCGGAGCAGTATGATCATTGCATGAATATAAACACACGAGCAGCTTTTATCCTGACGCAACAATGCGTACCACATCTTATCAAGACCAAGGGTACTATTGTACATGTTTCCAGTGTAACCGGTCTTCGCGCATTTCCTGGTGTGCTGGCGTACAATATGAGTAAATCCGCGGTGGATCAACTCACGCGTACAGTAGCCCTTGAGGTTGCGGAGTTTGGGGTCAGAGTCAACGCCGTAAATCCGGGAGTTATTGTAACAAATGTACATAAACAGGCTGGGATGGCCGACGAAGCGTATGAAAAGTTTCTTGAGCACAGTAAAACTACACATGCCCTGGGCCGGGTAGGTACTGTTGATGAAGTGGCTAAAGCTATTGAGTTTTTGGCCAGTGATAAATCATCATTTATTACTGGACAAACCTTGGCCATTGACGGAGGAAGAAGTGTAATGTGTCCAAGATAGATGAAAAAAAATATTTTATCATTTAATGGGTTTTGGTAGTTTTTTTCAGATCTCTATAATGTTAATAAAATAATTTTATATTGTTTTAATTTGTTTTATAATGATCTGACGTACTTTTGATAATTTATTTAAATCGATTTTATATATTACATTTTACCACAGTTTGTTTTACAGCAAGATGTCAAATTTTTTCATTTGAAGAATTATTTTTTACGCATTCTTTTTCAAAATGTTTAACATTTGAATTTTGCGATGTTAAAGGTATACGCTAACTTTAGCACGAGTCTGTGAAACTAAAGATATCAATAACTACCAGAGTAAATAGCCCACACGCTCGAGAAATTACCAATAACGTTTTTATTTGAAGAACTCCATTTTGGTTGGAAAATATATATGTTTTTTTTTTTCATTCTTTCTCGAAAAAGTCTTAATAATATATTTTAAAAAGTGCTGAAGTATTAAAAATTTCCGGTGACTTGACAAATCTAATAAAATTATTATTTTATTAAAAGCATTTTTTACTGTAGTTTTAATGCTCGGAACATGATAAATTTTGTGATTATACCTTTTTTATGAACAGTGTGATATTATATTTTATCGTGTTATCTTTTCTAACGTTTTTATAGATTTTATAATTCATGTTGGCGCATTTGTCTAGATGTAAATGGCGCATTTTCTGATGTTTTCTTATTTTTCTACTAATTTCAGACAGGAATGGGTTTGGAGATAAATATAAACGATGAGTCGGCTCGTAGAGTTGACAAGTTCCTTGTGACGAACAAGTACAAGGAGCTGGCCGAGAACGCGATGTCGTTCAACAGGAAGCTGAACGAGGAGAGGAAGATGAGGATACCATATGTCGACGGACAGGTTCAAATTAATTCTTTTCATGCATTTTAGATTTTTAGAATAATAAAGGTACCCTCTAAACCTTTAGCTGACAGTAATGTGGAAAATTTCGTTTTTTTCTTCGAATTTCCTTTATTGTTTCCAATGCAGCAATCTGAATTTCACTTTTATATCACATTTCAAAATAACAAATTTTTAAAGAGAACCCTAAATCGTTGTGAAATGGATATGCTACTTTATTAATGAAGGGTCACTGCAAATTAAGTTAACAGTCCCTTTAAGTTTTTGTTTATTATAATAGAACTAGTTTTTATCTCTTCTTATTTGTAATATAGAATAAAAATAGTTTTTGTTTTAGACCGGAGTGGCGCAGCGCCATTACGATATGATGCGTAAGTGTCGTGAGCGAATGCCTGGTCGTCGTGAGGGCCAGATCCTCTCCTATCCGCAGCGTAAATGGGTGAAGAAACGGTATCAGTATCTTCAGCACTTTTTGCTACCTAAGCATCTACGATATATCGCAGAATCGGCGCCAAGTCTCGGCGAAACACCAGTTATCGGGGTAATAATAACACTTTTTTTCTTTCATAGTGCGACCCTTAAGTTCATGCAACCATTTCTTTTTTATAAAATCCGGATTTTCTCGGCAATGAGTACATTTTTGTTACAAATCAGCAAATGAAAATGTTCATCAGTTTGCGAATGAGTAAAGAGTATTAAAAAGGCGTTGAAAAGTCTTCACCAATTGCATAGGAGCCCATGAAAGGAAAAGAAGTCAGATTATTAATATATTTAGTATTTACTGACCCAAAGTTTATTCAACAAAGCTTAAAATAAAAATAAATGGAACAAAAAAGCTTTGGAACAAAAAAGCTTTAAAACAAAAAAGTTTTTCTTGAACTATGGGAAGGATGATTTAAAAAAATTTACGTGATCATCTTTATTCACAGGTTTGTCAACAAAAGTCGCCAAAATATGAGCTTCTTTTATATTTTATTTCTAAAAAAAATAATACTGCTTGCACAAACTTTTTAGTCGCACAAATTAAATATTTTTATGCATTTAAGCAGGGGTCTGTATAATTCCATTTCTGATCCCAAATGGGATCGGGGTTGAAAGTACATTTAGGGGCATTAAAGTACACTTTATATGTTATTTAGAACTTTGACAAGTTTTTGTGTACGTGTACTACAATTCAGAAATGTGTACTGCATTTGGGGTGTTAAAAGATGTAAATATTAGTATTTAACATAGGAGATAAATTATAATATACAGAAAAATGAACACGCCCTTGCAGTAAACATTCTGCAGAAAGGAATTTTTTCTACATCTTGACATTATATTTTCAATTTTTTACAATAACAATATGGTTTATTTCTGCCCCTAATATAAATCAATCAATCAACATTTGGGATTGATCAGATAGAATTATATGGACCCCTGCATTTAAGCCCATTAACTTTTGGGATTGGATTATGGCAAGAAAAAGTCAGTGCTGACAATGTTCATTAAGGACTTGTAACTCCGTTCTGAAACATTGAAGTTTTATTAATTGATTTGCCTTGGATTGGTTATTCAATATTCGCCTCTTTTATATATTTCTCTTCTTTAATTATTAATTTGAATAATTTATTTTAATTAAATTTTACAATATTTTCAAATTTTCATATCAAATCAGATGGAAATATTTTGAGGTATCTATATAATTTGTTCTTAATTTTTTCTTCTCGATTTAATGCTTATTTCATTTACTTTATTAAATTAAAGACAACCGTGGAATTTATAGAATAACGCTTTTAATTTATCACATAAAATAACAAGCTGTGAACTTAAACAAATATTTAAAAGCGATAATTTGTTTAATACCATATTCTTGGGTCCTTCATTATTTAATTTGAAAAGAATGATATAGACAAAGCCAAAACCTTTGTCTGACATTTTTTTCACCTTTTCTATCCTTGGCAAATCTCGTTTTCATAAATATAGATATCTACGTCTTTCGTTAATATGTCGTTTAAAAAAATAACATTATCTAATAAATGTTGCATATTTTGGAGGAGGCGCCGGTATTCGTTCCCGAGGAGATGTCCCACCCTATGATGAGTAAAGACTCCTGGGAGTACTACGACGACGAAGCCTACGCAATGCAGGAGCCGATCGGTTCCGAACCCGAGAGTGATTCAGATTTTGAGTATGAGAGTGGGAGAGGGAAGAAAGGAAAAGGAAAGAAGGGAAGTATGGGGAAAAGTAAAATGGTAAGTTAAAAACACAATAAAGTTTAAAGTTTAGAGACTTCTCATTTTATTTTTTTATTAAAAGGTGTTGAAGAAAGTTAACAGTGTGTAGAAGATAGTTAATAGTGTGTAGAAGATAGTTAATAGTGTGTAGAAGATAGTTAGTAGTGTGTTGAAGATAGTTAACAGTGTGTAGAAGATAGTTAATAGTGTGTAGAAGATAGTTAATAGTGTGTTGAAGATAGTTAACAGTGTGTAGAAGATAGTTAATAGTGTGTAGAAGATAGTTAATAGTCATAGAATAAAAAAGTGTTTTAGATCCGGTTGATCCGCAACATTAGCTCCCTGGATCCGGTTGATCCGGAAAAATATACGGATCCCGATCCAAGTGGCAAAATTTCAACAAAACATAGTTTCTTATCATCCAATGCAATATTATAATTCATTAAAACCTTCCTCATCATGGAATGGATAACACGGGTGTATAATTTAAAAATTTATTTCCAATTAATTTTTGATAAAATGTAGATTGTAGGAGGGGGAAAAAATGAAAAATCGAAAGCCAAGATGTTCCCCTAAAAATCATTTATTTTCAGCAATTTATGAAACCCCTTAAAAACATTATCAACATCTTGGGGGGGAAAAATATTTTCAAATGGGGGGGGGCTGATTTTTCACGAAAATATTAACCCTGATGGATAATCAAGTTTCTGTTAAAAAAGAAGATTTTTTGAAATTTTGATTTTTTTGTTCAGATAGAAATCAGCAAAACGAGCAAAAATATTTTTTTGGAAAAAGATCAAATCGAATTGAAAATAAGTGTTAAAGAATTGTTATTTTCTTTAAAAATATAAATAAGAAAAAAAACTAATAATGCGGAAAATAGAAAGAAAATCAAATCCAAAAATAAACGTTTAATCTTCATAAGTAAAGTAAAGACAGTTTTGGAGCATTTTTCCTAAAATTAAGAATTAACAAATAAATTGAATAAATGGCTTGATATTTCATTCAAAATTCATTTTAAGCGAGAAGGTGTTTTTTTAAAGGAGGGGTTTTACGAAGAAAAATTCTTTTTCTTTTGGGGATGTGTTCCGGCTCACCCCCTCCCCTCTTTAATATTTCTTGTGTTTTGCGGGATAGGGGGGGGGGGGGTAAATTTTTCCCACCTCGATCAGAAGTCTAATTTTTGTTATTTCCTTCTTTTTCTCAACGGAGGAGGGGGGGAGGGGGGGGCTCGGTCCTGTGTTCTTGATTTTGATATTTTAATATTCCGAGATGTTTCAAACTTCTACCCGTATCCGACTTAGTCTTATTAAAACTTCTAAAGCTTATTAAACCATATTTTAATTCGGATTTTCATTTAATGTTCGATTAGTTTTTCGACGAAAAGCTCAATGGTTAAAAATGATAAAATCTTTAATACCAACAAGCGCAAATTTTCTAGAAAAGACTAATGAATAAACTTTGTAGATTTCATTTACTTTCATCAACGCAGGTTTTGAGGATTAGGTGTTGATCAGGGTTTTGTTGTACAAGGGTAATTTCTTCTTTACTGTGGATTAGTCCGCTTAATTAGAATTTATTTTCATTAAATTATAGTTCAGAAGAACCCTGGTTTTCATATCATCTCGTATTTTACAAAACTATAGTTCGGATGAACCTTAGTTCTGATATCATGACATATTTCAGATGCACCCTAATTCTGATGTCGCATTATATTTAACTTAATTATAATTCTGATGAACCATAGATCTGATATCATGTTGAATATTTCGTGAAACTCTAGTTCTGATGAACCCTAGTTCTGACATCATTTCGTGTTCAACTAAACTATAGTTTGTATGAAATCTATTTCTGACATCATGTTGTAGGGAATGAGTAAATCTAATAAAAAGAGAAGTTTTGACGAAGAAAGAACACCGACTCAAGACAGTAAGTTCTATTTTTTTAATATATTTTGCTTGTCCGTTTGTCTGTCTCTATCCAATAAACGCCCAAAGGGGCAATTTTTGTGGCAACTCACTTGACCCCAGAGAAAAAATTTACTGGAAATTTTTTTTTATGTTTTAACCTTTTTTTTGAAATCCATCAATGCTATCAGAAAAATCCTCAAATTATCGTTCAAAATCTTCGAAAAGGGCTTTTAAAAGCGACAGTTAAACCTAAGATTATTTTTAAAATAAAAATATTTATTTGAAGAATTTTTCTTTGTTGTTTGTGTTTATCAAGTCATTCTTTGCACAAAAATTGATTGATATTTTGAGTTGAAAAAAAAGAATATTTTTTTATATTCGCCATTTCTATTTTTTATTATAGTTATTCTATCAAACGTGTTAAGTGTTAAAGAAATGATAAAAAACAGAAAACAGATTTTTTTATCATAATATTAAACAGATATATTTTTTATCAATCAGGAATTTGATTATCGTTTTTTTAAAGTTTATGCATAATTTAAGCAAAATTTCGAATCATGCAAAGATGACAATGCCCGATTCACAACGGTATATCATTGACTTTAACCTGACAAATTATGTTGAAAATAGTTATTCTATTTTTAAAATTGTTTAATTCTGATCATTCAAAGAAAATAATCACTTTTCAAAATTATAAACATCAGACAAAGCTTTTAATGGTAATTTGTGAATTGGGCATTGTCATCAATGCAAGGCGGGTCCCGCTTAGGAGTCCCGGCCGTTAAGAAGAAGTTTCTGATTTTATAAAGTTGACAAATATCGTTTAGGATCTAGTCGGTCAGCCCGGAGAAGTGTCGGAGGACCTCCTCCTCAACCTCCCCATCCATCCGCTCATCACCCTCCTCCTCCTCCACCTCCTCAACATCATCCACTGAATCAGCAACAAACACCGCCACAGCAACAGAATTCAGTAAGAATTAAATTTCAAAATAATTGCGGCATTATTCATTCCATGCATACTTGCGGATTTTTTACTTTTTACACACTGACACAACTCAATTTTTTTTAGCACTTTAGGGCTTGTGTAGCACCTACCTAGATATGTCTGCTTTTTAATCACAATTTTAGCACTAATTTTAAATTCCGTTTTTAATATTCTGTCATGAAACTGAAAGACTCAAGTGGCTTGTAGAATTCAAGCATCAAAGGGGGAAAAATCTAAAACATTTCAAAAGAATTTTAAACATTAAAAATGTCTGCTAAATATAGATTTATAGATTCATACAAAAGTCTTCATATAATTTTAAAAGAAAATTTTCATAGATTTAGACTCCAATTTTGTAAAAAATTTTCCCTCTCTTTCAGGATTTTTTTTGGCATATTTTTATGCTCATATTCACAGTTCAGAGTTTTATGAACCACAGTTAATTTCTGAATTTCAATATTTGCTATAAAATATTTGCCGCCATAATTACATTTTTATAAATTTCTTAAAAGAAGCGATTACATAACTTAAGAAAATGGCATCCATATGNAGGATAAAAACACAGAAATGCAAAAGGAAGAAAAACTAAGAAACCCGATAAAACAGATTAGAGTGTATGCATGCTTAGAATAGAATCAAAGAAATGAACAGAATGAAGTGAATAAAAGTAAATTAGATATAGAAAGAGATGAACCTTGGTTCAAGAGACAATTTTTGTAGAGTTACATGATTTATGGGTTAGTTTAATCACTACACTCTGACACTTTGAATTTCTATTTAAAACTATTTTTTTTTCAAAATCCAACTTATTACAAAAAATTAGATACATAATATTTTGTACAGTGAATATGTATGTGAATACATAGCAAGAGTTTTTTTTTATAATGTCGTATTCTCAACATATTTAAGATCAGATGCCGCGGAAAAACGAGTTTACTATATCCATTGCTATCCTGCATATTTCAGGGCTATTAATTTACCTTGAATAAAAAATAAAAAGCATCAAAAAACTTATAAGTCATGATATTTGGATATATTTTCATAAATCGTATTTAACCCTTTGAAGCTGTGAACATCTCAGCAGCATTATTTTTGTGCAGACCAATGGTGAATAATAACAGCTGTCATAGATTTTAAAATAAATTTCAAGACGACATTTTATGTGCTCTTGCTATGTATTCTTATATCTGAGATTGGCCGTATTAAATTTTTTTTATTTATTACTCTGATTTTTATGGCAAACTCTTCTCTGAAATGTCTATTTAAAAGTTTTACAGTTCATTGCACAATATCTTTGACATTGATTTTTTCAATAATGTTTTTCATTTTTTTCCATTTTAATATTTAAATTTTTTATCCTAGATTTAATTTTTTTTTAAAAAGAGAAAATTGTTTTTAGGTTTAAAGGGAGAGACTGACATTGCAACATATTTGAGCTGAAAGTGCAGTTTTGTAGAGAAAAATGTTAGGATTCATTTGATACCAATGAGACATTTTTATGGTGTAAAATTCTAAAAAAGAGCGTAAAGACGTTTGTAATATTTCACCAGTTGTTTTAGCCAGCAGAAGAAACGTGTTCACAATTATTAATTTACATGGACAAAACATGTAAAAAAATATTTATGATTTAATTTGCTGTTGAAGTAAAATCGTAAAATCAATAATTTCATTATCACTATTACCCTTGCTGTTTCTATAATTTTATTTGTAAATTTCTTCAAACTGTCGTCTTCACAATTAAAATAAAGAAAACCCCCAACAAGCGACCGTAGCTGAAAGAATTTGCATAAACCAAACAAGATTTTAAAATTAATTTTAATAACCTATTTACAATAATATAAGTTCATTATTTTCCTCAACCTATTTGTATACACTATACATGCAACTAGTTTGTACAATACTATTTGTTTCATGTTTTCTCCATTATTTTAGAATTGTAAAGAAAACGTTCTTCTGTTGGCTGAAACAACTGATGAAATATCACAAACGACTTCTCGCTCTTATTTTAGAATTGTACATCGTAAAAATGTCTCATTGGTATCAAGTAAATCCTAAAGTTTTTCTCTACAAAACTGCACTTTCAGCTCAAATATGTTACATAGCAAGGTCTCTCCCTTTAAAGAAAAAATATTGAATTACCTGTTATATTTCTACACAAGTAATTCTAAAACTCAAGGTTAAAGTAAAAATTATTTTTAAAAAATGCTGTGAACTAAACCAAAATTTAGGGGTTTATTCAAAGCCTGTGTATGGTTTTAATCCTAGCAGAGTTATGGTTTAGTCTATCCCAGGATATGTCTTAATCCAACCCAAGATTTAAATAAAATCAAGAAAGGGTTTTAATCCAAAACAAGGCATGGTTTTAATTCGAGCCAAGATATGGTTTAAATTCAAGCCAAGATATAGTTTAGTTCAATCAAAGAGTTGCTTTTATTTCAAAGCCAAGATATGGTTTTACTCCAAACCACGATAAGCTTCTAATTCAAACCAATATATAGTTTTAATCTAATCCAAGATATGGTTTTAATTCAAACCAAGCTATGGTTTAAATCCAAACCAAGATATTGTTTTAAACTAATCCAAGATATGGTTTAAATCCAAACCAATATATAGTTTTAATCTAATCCAAGATATGGTTTTAATTCAAACCAAGCTATGGTTTAAATCCAAACCAAGATATTGTTTTAAACTAATCCAAGATATGGTTTTAATTCAAACTAGTTTCTTAGTTATGATTTTTGATTCAAACCATGAAGAAATGGTTTTAATCTAATCCAAAATATGGTTTTAATTCAAAACAATCAAAAGGAAGAAAGGATTTTAAATCGAATCAGATATGGTTTTAATCCATACCAAGATAGGATTTTAATTCAAACCAAGATATGGTTTTAATCCAAACCAAGATATGGGTTTAATCCAAACCAAAATGTGATATTATTTCAAACCAAGAGGTAGGGTTTTAATACAATTGTTCTCCAGGCTGCATCTACACCACCGGAGGATCTCTACGAGCCGACACCAGTCGTTATCAATCCTAAACCTAAGGTTCTTACCATGGAGTAGAGAAACCAAGGAGTGGTTTTGAAATGTTAAAAACTTTTGGAATCCCCCCCCCCCCTCAAGAAAATAAATACAATGATGCAATTCTATGATTTTCCTGTTTTTAATTACAAATTCAAATTTGTTCCGACTTACACGCACTTGAAGGTTTACAGAAATTCAGAAAAAATGACACTCCTTGTGTTTTAACAACTCCATAGTCAAATTAAGAATGCTTTCTGCTGCATGCTGCATGTTTGCTTTCTTGCTTGTAATTACTCTCTTGAGTATAAAGTTTAATCATGTTTAATCCTCTAGGCAGATTCATCCGTCTACTGTGATTTCTGTCTCGGGGATACAGTGATGAACAAGAAGACCGGAGGACCAGAGGAGCTTATTGCCTGCTCCATCTGTGGTCGTGCAGGTACTTGGAGTAATTATTTGGTTTGGTTTTTATCTGTCGTGGTGGGCAGCGGCCAAACTCTGTTACGTTTAGAGAGAGTAGGGGTGAATTTTGTAGATCCAGAGTAAATCATTTTGGTGGGATGTCTGTCTATTTTTGGTCGTGCAGGTACATGAAGTAATTATTTGGTTTGGTTTTTATCTGTGGTTGTACACTTGTAGGTACATGAAGTAATTATTTGGTTTGGTTATATCTGTGGTTGAACACATGTAGGTACATGAAGTAATTATTTTGTTTGGTTTTTATGTGTGGTTGTACACGTGTAGGTACATGGAGTAATTATTTGGTTTGGTTTCTATTGTGGTCGTGCAGGTACATGAAGTAATTATTTGGTTTGGTTTTTAATCTGTGTTTGTGCACGTGTAGGTACATAGAGTAATTATTTGGTTTGGTATCTATCTGTGGTTGTGCACTTGCAGGTACATGGAGTATTTATTTGGTTTGGTATCTATCTGTGCACGTGCAGGTGTAATTAGTTGGTTTGGTTTATACCTGTGTTTGTGCAGGTACATGGAGTAATTAATTGGTTTGGTTTTTAATCAGTAATGTTTATTTGATAAATTTTTCTTTCCTCCCCCCCCCCTTTAGCATACTGGGGAAAATATTATTTTTGGAGAAAATATTTCCCTCTTTTCAATATAGTTTGGTTTGGGTTAGTAGTTATTTGGCCGAGTTTGTATTATCACATTATAATACGTCGTCAATGTATTTTAACTCAGAAATCCCGGGAAATTTAAATTACGAATTATTCTCAATTTTAGTTTTCTAATTTACACTATTTTTTGTCTGAAATTCATGCAGCCTCATCAATTTTTATTTTATTTTTCATGCAAATTTAAATAGAAATCAAAACAGAAAGTGCATATTGAAATCCTCCTTCGTCACGATTGATTAAGCCTATTGTTTTGAAACTAAAGATGAGATCCTTGTAATGAGAGAATAGGGGATAAGGATGAATATGCGTTGCAGGGGTGTGCACACTGTTCACAACATGATGTCGTAAACCTTTTATATTTATAACTTTGATCTGACAGAATTCATAGTTTGAAATGGCAAGGGTACACACCATCAGGCTGCAAAATATTAAGATTAGAAAAGTGTTAACTAAAGATTTAATAATAACAATGTGGGGTACTAGTAAACAGTGCTTAGGATCCGGATCCGTTGGATCCGCAAGATTTTGGTTTCCTGGATCCGGATCCGTAAAAATACGCGGATCCGAGGATCTGGATCAAAGGGGTAAAATATCAACCAAAAACTGCATAAAAAACTTTTTTACTCCCAAAACCCAATTATGAACTTTTGAATAAAGAGAGATTATGAAAATTTCCTCATTTCTGAATGGTTCATCAAGTTTTAGGATAAAAATAAGAGAGAAAAAAATTGAAAATTATTTTTTGTTAAAAAAATTCAGTAAATCTAAAGGAAATGACCTGGATCTGGATCCGGATCCATTTTATTCCATTGCGGATCCAGGATCCGGATCCGCATCAAAATTAAATGGATCCTAAGCACTGCTAGTAAAATAAATGAAAATAATGTGGTCACCTAGAAATTTTCTCGCTAATTTCCAAGAAATTATTCTTTCGGAAAAAGAAAAAAATAATTTTATATTCTTTCCTGTAAATTTGATGCTTGCACCCCTGTGAAGAACTTGAGAGAGAAAAGACTGTCAATGATTAAATTAAAAACTAATCTTACTAAACTAGTAACTAGACAACTGATCCCCTCGTCTCCGGTAACTGATTATACCTTAGTTAGTTAACCCCCCCCCCCTTTTCTCCCCCCTTCCCTCTTTTTTGTACTTCACTATATTTAGTCCCAAAAGGACTATTGACAAAATTTTAATAAACACCTGATTCACAAAGGTACCCTTTCAACCTTTAACTGAGGAAAATTATGGATATTGCTCACAAATAACGGGTTTAAAGGCATCGTTGTGAACCGAGAGTATACATTTTTTATGCTATTGCTATTTTCTGAATTCCTTCGGATGATTTTTTGTAATTTTCTATTCTGTTCTTCGTCCTAGAGCTTATTTTTACCTTCTAGGTTTGACTTTTTTCTATTATTCACATTCACGTATATAATACTATAATATATTTTTGTTGAAAAATCACCCCCCTCTAGATAGTTTTTTTTCAGATGTTAGGTATGTTTTCGCGCAGTTTTTATGATTTTATTCACTGAATTTGGACAAATAGAATAATTTTAAGGTTGAAAGTATCGAAAATGGTGGAAAACTTGCCAGTTAATTACTATTTTTTTCATTTTTCCCAAGTATCCAACCCCCCCCCCCTGATTTTTGCACAGCTTTGTAAACGGCAATAATTTTTATTAAATCAACGTTTTTTTAATTGATCATCTAATATCATCCCCTTCAAAGAATGCTTAAACTTCCTCTTGTCCATTATTTATCTCATATTCCTCGTCAAATAATATTCCAATAAATCTTTTCTTTTGTCCATTATTTAACTCATCTTTATTCTCAAATAATATTACAATAAATCTCCTCTCTTGTCCATTATATATCTCATATTCCTCGTCAAATAATATTCCAATAAATCTTCTCTCTTGTCCATTATTTATCTCATCTATATTGTCAAATAATATTCCAATAAATCTTCTCTCTTGTCCATTATTTATCTCATCTATATTGTCAAATAATA